GACAATATTAGTTATGTAACGAAATTGGCGTTAATTGAACCACACATAATCCGGATAAATACATAGAAATACATATATGATTAGTAATGATGAGGCCTATATCTTGGTAAATTAGGACAATTGTTTTTTGAATGGCCTTCACCCCTACATAATCTGCATCTCTTTGCTTGACCTCTCTCTCTAGCATGGAAATCCATACTGGTATGAATTCGAGTGGACTCAGGTTGACCCTTCTATCTTCTGCGAAGCATTGGATTTGGTAGTCATTCATCGTGATTTTTTTTGGGCCAATATGATTCATTCGGGATCTGTCTGAACGCATAGCTGTAGACATTTAATATCCTACGTAGGTGGAAGCATTCATCAACATAAGTGTATGCGCTTACACCAGCATACATACATTCAGCGACTGCATGAGCACATGGATATTTCCATGCCTGAAAACGACCACAATCACACCATTTGTGTCGTAAATCAACTCTAAATATTTGGTCTTCTCCTCCGACGTTACGGCGTATGCACGACACGACAAAAGTATGACCAACTCGGTCGAAATTATGAACAACCATTGATGTTGTCAATCGCTCATTTGCTTCCATTGATTCCACCACTGTAGGAGCCCAAGTTTGACCTCTATTTATGAGACTCTCAATTTCCTTACCTTTGTCCGACCAAACTTTAGCCAATCTAAAGTATGTCTCTTTCACCACACTCGTTATTGGGAGATGGCGTGTACCTTTTAGTACAGAATTAATGGCCTCAACAAGGTTTGTGGTCATATGTCCATATCTCCGACCTTCATCGTATGCTTGCGACCATTTTTCCCGCGGTATTTTTGAAGCCCCCCACTTCCAAACACGCTGATCATCGTAAAATACCTTCAAATTCTCCAATCTCTTGTCAAAATTTGATCGACGTAGTTCGTATCCTGTTCCATAATATATTTTGTTAAACCGCAATTAAAAAAACCACGTAAAAATGCACAAATATTGTAAATAAAACTTACCCATGCTGACTATCTCGCTACGAATATGTGCGTTATGAAACTGGTCGATACTATTCTTACCAATATGACGGATACATAATGTCAGATATGCATACGGAGGTATCCAACGACTTCCTGGTCGTTCAATTGCCGCCAAAATACCCGTTACTCTATCGGATATCAAGCAAACTCCATCTTCACGAACGACATATTGACGTAGATTGGTCAGAAAGAAATCCCAAACCTCTGTTGTCTCACCCTCAACAATGGCGAATGCAATTGGGAAGATATTTCGCTCACCATCTTGAGCAACTGCCATCAAAAGTACATGCCTATATTGACCATACAACCACGTACCATCTACTTGGATCATACGTTTGCAAAATGAAAATCCTTCAATACATGCCTTGAATGCCCAAAATAGTCTATGAAATATTTTTTTCCCTCGCAGAAGTTGACCTTCTTCGTCATATGCGGGCATGGTTTGAGACTTCACTATGGTTCCTGGGATAAATCGCTTCATTGCTTGTAGCAAATGTGGTAGCTCATTGTACGATGTATCCCAATCTCCATACGTCAGCTTCATTGCCTTCATCTTCGCATTCCACACCTTGCCATATTTTACTTGATATCCAAATTGGCTTCGAATAGATGCAGCTAACACTGAACAAGATATCCTTGGATCCTTTTCAACCATCGCCTTCACGTATTCACATATTACATCGGAGTCCAATAGTCGATGGTCTTGTTCGATGGAGTTTCGCAAACATGTGTGCCGACCATTGTACCTCGTGATGACCCAAACATCGTGCCTTTGATTTTTCGACACTCTGATCTTCCACTTGCACTCTGGGCCATATTTTACACACTTTGCGTATAGGGTTTTCTGGTTAGACTCTGCAACATGGACATCAACATGGCATTTGATGCAGTACTCTTTAATCGCCAGCGTAGCTTCATTTTTTCCTCTGAATTGCACCCCAACTGAAAATTCACCAGAATTATCGAATGATTCAGTCATTTGGTACAGAGGTAAATGTGGCATGTCTGGGAATTCAGGTGCCCTCATCGCATCATAGTCTATCTCGTACATGTGAGGAGTAGCTTCATACGGTGCCGGAACTTCATCAATTGCACCTCCACAAAAAATATTTTCGTCGTCGCCCAAAACGGGTTCTTCAGTTTCTTCATCTTCGCTTGTATCATCGTGAATTTCTCCCCATCGATTTTCAGCGTCAATATCAACAACCAATTCCGGTATATTTCTCGTCTCATACTCTGTTGTTACAGATGTCCCCCCGACTTCATTTACACTTTCCAATAGTGCCATAAAACTGTTCGAGAACATGTATGTCGGCTCCTCAAACTGACTATATAAAGCCATTTCAGATGGATTTTGAGCCACACCTCTTGATGACCCAAGAACATCACATATGTTACGCACATCAACAAATAACTCAATAACTGCTATATTGGTTGACTCATGTAATCTAACCATGGTTCCAATATCATCATCTTCTTCAAGTAGAACTGCAACATATCTGACTGGGTTGGGGCATATCATAAACCTATACCTCAAACCATCAACTGCAGCTCGAATTTTTCTTTCTATCTTATGCTTCATTTCTATAAATGTGATGTCTTTTTTTGAACATCATATTTATTGGTTTTTCATACTGAAAAACTACTCCGACCTCATTTTCCATAATTTTTCCATTATAATGGACAATCGTGAAAAAGTTGTTGCTCATTTTCTCTACAAATAAAAAAATTAATTAATTTAGATTAAAATATTAGATAAGATAATTTCATAAAACATTAAATCATTAAATATAATATAATATACTATTATATTAATGATCAAATAAAATTTGTTATTTAACTTGATTAATTGATTGATTATTAATATTACTAATAATGATTTAATAATTATTATTAATCTAATGATTTGATATTTAATGATTTAATAATAATATAATTTAGTCATGATTACTAATAATTATTTATTATAAATATTTAATGATTTAGATTTGATACTAATCATTTAGTAATTATTACTAATAATCATGATTAGTTTGATAATATTTTTTATTTTTTAAAAATATCAAACAAATTTGTTAGGCAAAATATCGTGATAATGTATTGGCCGGATTATTTCATTCAATTAATTTTTACTCCTTACTAATTTACACATACAATATAAATTAAACAAAATATTTTTTTTTAAAACAACACTAAATATTTTTAAACACAATATTTTTTTTAAACAGAAATTATCTCGCACAAATTAATTTATATAATCTAATATAAACTTACCAACTAACTAATTTACACATACACAACAACAAAAAATGGACAACAAAAAATAATAAATTACTCACGTATTTATGCCTTCCTCCTTTCCTTTCTTTTCCTTCTTTGTTTATTTCTTCGAACATGGACAAATGTTGTGGAATAATGCCCTGTATGTGTAAACCGTTTAATTTATTTAAACAACAGTAGCTCCCACAAATTAATTTTATATAATCTAATATATTATAATATAACTTAAACTAATAAACTATTTCTTTATTATAATATAACTTAGTTAAAATAACACACTAATTAAGCACTAATTAATTTTTTTTATAATATAACTTCAACTTCAAAGAACAACCTAATATACGTTTAAAGACACTAACAAATTAATTAATATTTTTTTATATTTAATAACTTAAACTAATAAACTAATTAACTAATTTTTTATATAATATAATATATAATTTAAACTAACAAACTAATAATTTATACTAACAAACTAATTAACTAGATTTTAGTTTTACCCTAAACCCTAAACTAACAAACTAATAATTTAATATAATAAACTAAATTAAACAATAAAAAATTACCTCACGAACTATGTCTTATCCTTTATCTTATTTTCTTCTTCTTCCTTTTCTTGCTCTCAGCAAAGTTTATATGTGCTTATGCTTATGCTCCTGGTTCTGCTTTTGCTTCTACCCTAAACCCCATATCATTTATATAAAGCAAAAAAACGTTGTACAGAGTCATTAAATTTGACTATTGAAGAAAATAATATTAGGATTGAATCGTATAACTATTGAGCATTGAAAGTCTTCAATTGAACAGCAATATTTGTTGCATTTAGCAGCTAAATTAACGCTGCAATCATGCAACTATGGATGCAACGCATGCAGCTACGGATGCAGGAATCTCCCAACTATGGATGCAACGCATGCATGAGTGATAGGGTTAAAGCTTGGTCGCGATGCAGGAATCTCCCAGCTATGGATGCAACACATGCATGAGGGATAGGGTTAAAGTTTGGGTGTGGTGCAGGAATCCACAGCTTGGTCGCCGGGACTCCATGGCGACCTACCATGTCGCCGGGACTCCATGGCGACCTACACACTTTGGTCACCGATCTCCCCATGCACTGATCTCCCCATGCATGCACCGATCTCCCCCCATGCGTGCATGCACCGATCTCCCCCCCCCCATACACACCATGCAGCTCCCGCTCCTTGGTTGCTCTGAGTGCATGGCGACCTCCTTGGTCGTTGGGCGTGCATGGCGACCTCTTTGGTCACTGTATAATTAACCCTATCTCAGCAAATAATATGTCCACAGCATTATCTCGTGAAAAAAAAAATCGAGAATATTATCTTGTGGAATCAGCCCATTATTATATATGTTTTCTTTAGAAAGAAAATAATGACTTCGTAATAAATAATATTTGAGCGATTCTTTAACTATTTAATTTCACATCAAACGTCTCAATGAATGAAATAGATAGTGTTAACAATCATGTTGATGGCCCGTGACGAGATTGAGTGGGAAGAAATGTCAAGTCCCAGGAACACAGAGAACATTAACCTCACATCCTATAGGAGATGTGACAAATCGAGGGAACTAAACGAAAGAATGAGAAAGAAGTAACACCACAACATATAACTCCCCATTAAGGTTTCATGTATATTAGTCGATGATTAATTGGCTTAATGTTACACTGTACAAAGTGAAAACAAAGAATACCTCTATCTAAAGCAAATGGAGACCAGGATAGCAACACCATATACAAAATCATTTTCGAAACCATGTATTCGTACATGCTCGGGAAAGGAACGAGACGATAGGCTGCATCAGCCACATATTTAAGGATGTCCCAGTCTTTCCTGCAAGATATGCCCGAGCTTTACGAGAAGGTTTTGCTGCTCCTCGAAAGTAAGTTTCGTCAAGATCTGCATAGCAAGAAACAATTATAAGCATCGCAGCGTTTACGGTTATAGTTCCAAGACAAACAGAAGAACAGCCTAAAAGATCTTTTACCTGGTCCAAGATCATTTCAATCGAGATGCCTTGGCACACAATGAATGACTGGTGATAGATGTATGCAAACACCGCCATCACCATCTACATGTAATGATCGAGTATGTCAGAGTCGCATAGATATACTGAAGCAACGCTCTATGTAGGTGGAAAAACTTCAAAAGTTTGAACATATCTGTATAGGACACAACCTATATCTATCACTGACGCTCGAGTTTGAGTAATATAGATGACTCAACATTTAACTGAAATGTTTGATTAGGATGAAAAGTTAGAATTTTTGCACCTGCCAATCCATTCTATCTGTAATTCCACCATGCCCGGGAATGCTATCTCCAAAGTCCTATAGCAAATATTAAAAGTTGGAGTTAACAGAATTTATAGCAAAAATCTGAAGAGAGAACAGGAAAGAAGTTCATACCTTGATTTTAAAAGCTCTTTTGAAACCACTTGCAAAAAAGCCCCCGAAAGGTGCTACGATTGATGCAAACAAACCAAGGCATAAAGCATGCCACTGAACTGGCAAAATAGAGATCTCTTGCCAAGGTAACTACATAAAATAACAAACTAACCTTTAAACCTGTTCCTATCAAAGTTACCGGCGTTATTTATTAATTTTTTTTATTAATATGAGGTGAATACAAGATAATATCTATTCAAAAGACTCAATCATTTGTCAATGAACGCTCTATACCCTGCATACGTGGTGCTCAAACCCGGGACCTCAAGGCATAACAATAATCCCTTAACCACTGAGGTCGCTAGGTTCGTGCAAAAGTTCCCGGCGTTAGAATATATGTTACAAGGACTTTTCATTCTCCCGAAAGTACTCAAGCCCAGCATACGCATATTTGAACATGGAATAGATGTATGATCCTCCAGATATGTGAAAATACTTGAGAAAAGTTGGGCCATGTCAGAAACATACCTGGAACTCATCCTTGAGTCCAAGTAACATAGCTTAAAATTTGACATCAGGACTTAAAAGGACCCAAGCACTTTGACTTGAGATGATAATCATTCAACAAACTGACAGAGATGAAGACACTAAACCTATATGCTACAAGCAGATCTCGTCCACCATAGCGGTTAATATTTTAGTGAGAGACGCATTCAAATTGAACAATAAGCTTTCTGTTGACAGTCTACTAGAATTGAAACATATAGTGTTTCCCTTTAAACAAGGGAATTCGGAACGATCACACAAGAAATCCATGTTGAAACTTTTATGGGCAAATTAAATCACAATCCTCTCTTTCAAGTAAAACCAGATCGTACCAACTCAAGGAATAAATATGGCAATAGATTCAGATACAATAATATGTAAGCTTACCAGTTGACGAATCCATCCTGGTAAAGTATAATATTCTGGCTTAAACAAAGGACCTGGGTCACATTGAAGCCAACCAGTTGATAAATCCTGCAACCAGTACCCTCACACCATGACTTTTCTGAAAAACGAAGTGGAATGCTGTGCTTCTTGAAGAATCAAAGAATAGGATTGTGATCCAATAATTACCTTCCTTGGACAGGTTAGCCACTGGAAACGACCCAAGATATTTGCAAGCTGCATGTGCAAAAATTTACACCATGTTTATGAACACATTTTAGGATGAAAATATGTAAATAAAACAAAAGGAACAAAACTTTCACAGATGATTAAAGATATACAATGAAAATATGCGAAGAAAATGAAAACAAAAATGAGTGTTTATAGCAAACTTGTTCTTCAGCTTAAGAAAATGAAAATATACAAAAGGCACTAACACTGGATATTACAGGTTTAGGATGGGCGTCAAATTCATGCTTAAGAGAACGAGTTAAATAAATCCTCTACAAATGAAGGTTGAGAATGATGCTTTTCACTGCATAATCTATTAAACTTGTCAACACAGAGAATGCTACTACGGCATTAACCTTTTCATTAAGATTGGATTTGAATATTATTGTCACCTGGACTATTGCATTGTATTTGGAATTTGTAGTTTAGTGAATTTTCCTACCAATAGAGGTAAAACCGGAAGAAGATAAATGAAACCCTGACTACAAAGACGATGGAGTCAAATGCAAAATAGAAAAAAAATGCTCACCACAAATGCAGAGATCATAGTTGTAACTGAAGCTCCAATAAATCCCTCCCATGTTTTCTTTGGAGATAATTTGATTAATGGTGTTCTTCCAAAGAAGAACCCAACAATATAAGCAAAAAATGTCGTTGATAACAATAAGTGATGCTGGAAGAAGAAACCTGGAAAGAAATGACGTCTTTTGTTAAGCAAGAAGAAGACAGCGGTGAAGAATAGGGAAAGAGACAATACAGTCTAAGTATCAACATTCAAATGATTAAAATTACAAAACAGAGATCCTTCTTTATTTTTCATCTTGACTGTGTCCATCTGTTATTAAGAGACCCAGTAGGAAGCATGTTACAGAAGGAAAAGTTACCAAAAAATTCCTTCAAAGATGTTGGCCACAGTAAAGGATGACTGTGTGAATACCACAATCAGAATCATGTGCGTCCATGCATACTGGCGAAACTGATACTTGTACATGTTCTTCTTCAATGTAAGAATAAACCACATAAAACCTGATCCCAAGAACCCAACACAAAAGAGGAAAAGATATCAATGGTCTTGGGCATTATTTTATGCAAAAAGGTGAAATAACCATATGACAAGTAAGAAAACAATATAGGCATTCACAGAAAAAAGAAAAACTAGCCCCACTTTGGTCCAAATTGAAATTTAAGATATCAATTGATGCATCCTAGACATTATTATTCTTCCATGTTTTCAATCAGAATACGTAAATAAAAAGCTTAACAAACCTGCAATGTACAAGAAGTAACAGATAGCCATTTGATGCTTGATAAGGCTGCTGGCAAACTGATACAAATACTTGTCCGGGGTTACAGAATTGACTAGTGGTTGATTGAGAAGGCGACCATATACAAATAACATTGCAGTGAAGAAGAAGTGCCTGCCATGAAACAAAGATGAATACATTCTAATGAAATGGAAAAACAGGCTAGTAAGATTCAAGACTAACTTCTATGAGGCGAAAAATCTTAGTAGCTGTAGGAAAATGTAGATTCTCACAAATTTAATAGCCTAAATCCTGGAAGGTGCCTATCTTCATGTGCTTTCCTGAGTAGATTAAATAGTTCTCTCGCCATAAATATTTGGATCACCACCACCATAGCTGTAATATAGAGATGACCCATGTAGACAATCAATGCAAAACCCCCAATCATCCAAACAGTAGAGTATGTCCGGATCCACATTGATTTGTACTTGTCACGGTAATCAAGTGTGCCTGGTTCTTCTTAAACTGCTTCAGGACTGATCTGAACATCATTTCCAGAAATCTCCTCGAACTCAGCAAATTCCTATGTTTCAGCTTCGGTATTGAAGCTACTTGATTCTATGGTTGACCTGTCTTTGTACATCACATTCTAATTGAAAATGACATCTCTGCTTCTGATGATCTTCCGATTTTCGTAGTCCCAAAACCGGTAACCGAACTCATCACCACCATAACCAACAAAGACACATTTGTTGGATTTGGCATCAAGTTTATTTCTTGAGAAAATAACCTCAGTGACCGAAAATGCCTTTTAATATACGATTTTAACCAACCTTTTTTGGATTTGCGAAAATGACTAACAAATTCACAACGCGAACTCCAATTTCGCAACCTAGTTTCCAAATTCGCAACGCGAATTTGTAAATCACAACACATAAGTCAAATTCGCAACGCGATTTCCAAATTCGCAACATTGAATTTCAAATTCGCAACTGAATTTCAAATTCGCAACTCGATTTTCGAATTCACAACACGAATTTAATTTCGCAACAGGTTTTAGTTACGCAACACAAATATTTTGGGTATATAACTACACAGTAGCATCAACTCATAACCTAAATCCCTAAATCATAACTCATTCCATCTCCATCTATCACTCTCTCCGGCGACATCCATTCCTATATCCAACGATCATTCCCCATCTATAATTTTTTTACATAATTTTATTTCTATATAATTTTTCAATGATTTCTCTCCCAAATTATCAACTATCAACTTAATAAATGTATGTTTTTCTCTAAGTTAGTGATGATATGTAGTTTATAGCTCGTTTGTTTAGTAAGTTAATTTACAATTTGTAGAATGAAATCATCTGATGTTGATCATGTTTGGATATATTTGTGTTTTGGAGTGTCATGGGAGAATGTTCATGGTGTTTTACAATATGTGCCTTTACCCATGAATCTTCAATTAAAACTGTCATTAAAAAAGTTAAATTATGAAACTCTAATGTTACGTGTTGCAAAGAAATTGAATTTAGAGTCTTTAAGTGGATTTAGGTTATCTTATCAGAGAAAATGTAAAGTTTATTTGTTAACCGATAATGAAGATGTTGAACGATTCATTGCTTACATTAGTGTTTCGCAAGAAGATAATGTTACATTGTATGTTGTTGAACCTAGAAGTAGTGAAGTTGGGTCAGTAGCGGGTAGTAATCAACTAAGTTCTTCAACCCCAGTTTATGGTGCTCACAATGTACAACGTTGTTATCAACCTCAAAATTTAATGGTTCCACCACAATTTCATCACCAAGAAAATTTTGTTTCACCACATTTCCAATACCAAACACAATCTCAAAACCCACAACCTTTCCCTAATCCAAATCCCAATCCCAATCAACTTTCAGCACCAAATTCCAGTTTTCGTATTGACCAGTTAGACGATGATGAGTCAACAGAAAAAATTGTGAGAACTAGTTAGTATTTGAAATTTGATCTTGGTCAATACCCGGACTTTGATCTTAGTCAATACTTGGATTTTGATGATGTTTCAGAAGAACAAACAGACCCTGCATGTAATGATTTTGATATTGGTCAATACCCGAATTTTGATGAAACAGCCGCTGCCGAAGAAGATGTTGTTGATGATAATGAGGAGGAAGTTACGACTGTGAATGAACATGATAAACATCCATTCTGTAATTCATATAACTCTGAAGAAGAAGAAGAAGAAGAAGAAGTTCCCGAAGAAAAGAAAAAGAAGAAAATGCCACGGGAGTATAACTGGAATATGCCAGAATTACTTCAGATACCGGAAGAAGAGTTGGTAAAGATAACAGTTGATTGTTACACAAAAGTTATTCATATCAAGAAAAATGATTGTTTTGATACAAAGGAAGACTTGAAGATAGCTTTGTATACGAAATGTGTGGAAGATGACTATCAACTAAAAGTTAACAAATCAAACAAAGATCGTTTCGAAACAAGGTGTATGATTGACAAAAACTGTGTGTGGCGTATGATTACAAAGAGGATAAAAGATTGTGAAATGTTTCAAGTTATGACTTTTATTGATAAACATACATGTTCAAGAACCCAAGTTTTTCCTCACCATAGACAGGCAAACAAAAATGTGTTGGGTGGTTTTCTGGCTGAGTTAATGTTTTTGAATGACAGGGTATATCGGGGACATGAAATTATGATTGACATGAATGCTCGGTTTAAGATTAGTATCTCATATTCTCAAGCTTGGAGAGCCAAATTTTATGCATTGGAATTGTTGAAGGGGTCACCAGAAGCATCGTTTGCCCAACTGTCGGCTTATTGTCACAATTTAAAGCTGAAAAATCCTGGGTTGGTAACTCATATCAAAATAGATAGAGATGGATGATTTGAGTTGTTGTTTATCGCCATTGGTGCTGCGGTTAGTAAATCAATGTAATTTTGTTGACTCATTTTTGTTAGTTACATGCATTTCACATTTAAATGATTATATTTCTTGTGTATATTATTTTGTAGATTCGTTCGTTTATTACTTGCATGCGCCCAATTATTATAGTTGATGTAGCACATTTGAAATGTCGATACCTTGGAGTAAACTTATTAGGAGTAGCCATAGATGCTAACAATGGGATACTGCCAATAGCTTACGGGGTTGGCAAATCTGAAACCTCTGATTCATGGACATGGTTTATGAGGCATCTTAGGGATTGCATAGGTTATATTAGCAATCTGACAATCATATCCGATAGGGCAAACTCAATTGACAACACTGTTAGAAGGTGTTTCCCAGATGCTTTTCATGGACTTTGTGGTGTTCATTTGTACAGAAATCTAAAATTAAGGTCTGTTGGTATAAAAAATCACAAATGGACATACTGGAAGGCTGTAAAAGCTTATCAGGAAGTGGATTTTAATAAGGATATAAATTGTTTAAGACGTGTTTTGCCTCAATGTGCTCAAACACTAGAAGATGTCGGGTTTGAAAGATGGTCAAGAGTACATCAACTTGGAGCAAAATATGGTTTCATGACGTCTAAAGTGCAGAATCAATCAACGCTCTAAGTCGTCATTCCTGGAAATTACCCATTACTATGTTAATGGAGTTTTTTCGAGCCTCTATTCAACAGTGGTACTACAAGAAAATAAATCATGCAAGTATTATTTCTTTAAATTCGTAACTTATCATATTTAATATATATTTTACTAAGTATTATTTATTTTAATTTACAGGAACATTGGAACGTCGTGTTACACCATAGACTGAAAAAAAAACAACGAAACCAATTGTGAAGTCAACGTCATGGAGAGTTGAACCATGTTCAAACACTTTGTTTGAAGTATTGGATAATAACTTAAATGGGCTTGTCGATCTAAATGCAAAGACGTGTAGTTGTATGAAAAGACAAACATCTGGTTATCCGTGTGACCATATTATAAAAGTTGCTCTTCATCTAAACCAATATGATTCAAGCGCATACGCTATAGATTACTACACTACATAAGTATATCGACAGACTTATACCGAGATTGTCTACCCTATTCTATATCCTTCTAAGTGGGACATATCAGATGACTTACAAACAGTTTTGCCACCAGTCATGGACAACAGGCTACCTTACCGACCAAAAAATCACGATCATATACCGTCTAAGGGTGAAGAGAAGAGGATATCAACATGTAGTCGGTGCAAGGAAAGTGGTCATACAAGGTTGACCTGTGGATCATCAGTGCCATCACAATCATCTTTTCCTCTACCAAAATATAGATCATCATCAAAATCTAAAGCTCGTATGATGCCAAGCAAAAGGAAATCAAAATCGCAATCAAAATCAAATTCTCAATCACAATCGACTTCACCTTTTGGGACTTATTAACTTAGGTGATTTTTATTTTTCTGACTGCCGGAGGTCTTCCACGGAAGCTGCTCTCAACCTGGCGTTGGGGTCAGCCTACTACCCTACCTCCCCTTTACCCCATTGTATATAGGAATCAGGGTTTTGTTGTTGTTGTTGTTGTAACTTAGGTGATTTTTAAATGCAAACGTTGTATTATGTGTATTTTATGTGTGAATGCATACATTTTTAGTTAGACATGCATTAGTAACTTGAGTTTGAACATTGTTATGATCTGTTCAGTTGTTATTACTTATCAGATTGTTGTCTTTTATCTTTTTCAGTTGTATTTTATGTAGTCAAATATGCAACGTGAAAATCAAATTCGCAACGCAAAAATCACAATGCGTATTTGACTTTCGCAACAATCGCAATGCGAATTTTACTTTCGCGTTGCGAATTTGTACCTTCAACAGGTAGCTTTTACCTTCAACATAATGCAGATTGAAAATTAAACAACAAATCAATTAAACATTGTTGTGGGTACATTATTTGAACATTGTTATGGGTACATTATTTGGAAAATAATATTCCAGACTTCGTTAGAAATAACCCTTTTTCATCGAATTAATTTCGTTGTTGTGGGTACATTATTTGAACATTGTTATGTATAAATTTGTTGTGTATGTATGTTTTGGTTTGATTATATTGTATGTATATTTTCATTCAGATGAGATTGGTTGTGCATAACAAAACAATCTATCTCTTCCATGTTAGTACTTTATTCCCACCATGTGACAAGTGTGACAACCCTATCAACTCACAACTCAGCTTTGAACTCAATCAATATTGTCTTTTAGCTTGATGGTTCATAAAGCATGTTACTTGAACAGTATGAATCAATTATGCAATTTCCATGTTCAATTTAACACTGCATTTCAAATTCATTTCATATGTAATTGGAGTTTGAATTTAAATTTCAATTTGAGTTTGAATTTCAATATATATAAATTTCGACTCCACTATAAATATTAGCCCAAGCCTTTATTCCATCCAAACAACAACTTACTCAATGGAATAACTTAGCCAATATGCATGTTATCATTGATTATTCCTAATTTTCATTGTTTTTTTCCAACTTTAAACGCGAGGGAAATCCCAACCAT